ATTAAATTAACCGGTCCGGATCTGACTCCGTTCTCGAACGCATCTGGAAACATGAGGGGTGGGGGTAAATGCATTGATTAGGACAAAACAATGAAATAAAAAAAGAAATTAATTAAATTAACCGGTCCGGATCTGACTCCTTTCTCGAACGCATCTGGAAACATGGGGGGGAAATGCATTGATTAGGTCAAAACAATGAAATAAAAAAAGAAATTATTTAAATTAACAGGCCCGGATCTGCCTCCTTTCTCGAACGCTTCTGAAAACTTGAAATAAAAAATGTTATCGCAATTATTACCATAGGACTAAAGAACGCGGTGGCACAATCCGACCTATCCAGCAATCACTAAGTCACTTCCGCTCGCGACACAGACTAACGGAAAACTGTGCGGGGAAGATATCCCTTGGGGCGGACGAGGATATTGCGCATGAGTAAGACGACGAGCCCACTCTCTTTTTCCCCTCCACCACTTTTCTTTTCTTTCTACCTTAAAAATGAAGAGGCCTGAGGGCAATGCCGTCTGATCTGAGATTGTTGGTTAGACAGGTCTTCTTGGTGACAGAGCATCTATTTTTCCGAGTGACACAACTGTCCCTTTGTGTGATACTTTTAGATGTGTATCTTAACACTGAAATTTCACCAGCTTGTGGTGCTGGTTTCTTTTCGTGGATTGCTTTCTGTAATAGCTGAAAAAATGCCAATGGAAGTCTGTATAAAGTATGTTGGCCTATTTCTTCCAGAACAGTTCTTGCTTTGGGATTTTCTCCTAACCGATTGTTAATTTTTTAAAATGCGGAATCCTTTCATTAATGGAGAAATGAAAAATTCTATTCCAGTCTAGAGGAATAGGTTGCAATGGCAACTTGAACAAGTTGGATGAAATGAGCTCATCCCTCATTCCCCTCGCATCTCTCTCTCATCCCTCCTGTCATTCTCATCGATGTCTCGTTGGTAGGGATCTCATCATCCAGTCAGCGACCACCCCAGTGAGTCACAGAGTATCTTCCCTGCTCACTAATTCCGTGATCGGATCGTTCATCGCCAGAAGCGAAGGCATTGCTAACGCGTTTAGGAGTACCGAGGAAAATCTCACAGAAGTCGCACGCCCTCGATCGGGACGAAAACGGAAGGACGCTCGATCGACTCCCGTCCTCGACGCCACAGTTCCTTCGATTTCGAGATGAGTCGGTCTCGTGATTCGTCGAAATCCGCCGTTTTGCCTTCATTTATTGCTGTCACGTTCTAATTCTTTCCAAAGTCAACAGCGAGGTGGATTTCCCTTTGATGGTGCACTCCCAAAACAAGCGCCTTGCGAGATATCTCAGAGTGACTGCTTCGCCTCCCTCCTTTCCTCCGTCGCTCTTCGTCTCCATCTCATCTTGGCTACGAAATTAGAAATCGAGGATGTGACGCCATCGAAATGCAGTATTTTTTTTATTATCAATGTGTACATTTGAAATAGGCCATCAATTTCGTGAAGACAATTTCTTCGTCATCGCATCCTGCACGCACAAAAATTTCTGACCTTCAAGCAGTTATCAGTCTCTTCAATTTTTTTTTAAGCAACCCACTCCCAGCTCTACTTGAAGGGAGTGCTTCGAACGAGAACGTCACCACCCGCGATTCAGTCGTCGCCTCCCATACCACAGATGTAGCTCCCCAAAACTCAGATGTGGCCCCTAATAGCTCGGACGAAGAATGTTGGGGCATTTCCAATGGATTTGTTAAAAACGCAAGATTCTGCGTTCTCCATAATCCCAGGACGATAGAGCCAAAAACTCCCTCCCGCGATTCTGTGTTGAGAGAGAAAGGAAGACGCCCCATTTATTCTTTTCGATCCTCTCGGAGATGAATGCGTGGAGGTTCACTTTTGCTGTGGAAAGGGGTTGAAAAAAAGTCAAAGGCGCCTCCGCGCCCGATCCGACTGCGTTTTTAAACAAAATTAGCATTAAACTCATCGTCTGATTAGGTGGAATCGAATGAGGGTCAGAGGTTCTAATAGAAAGTGATTTCGCATCTTCAGGCCATGTTTCATATTATTGTCGACTAAACAGAACTAACTTCAAATCATAGATCGAAAGACAGTGTCCCAGTCCAGCCTCTTTTCTTGCCTTTAATTCCCATTAGCAATCTGACAATAAAATAAACAAATAATGTAAATATAAGTTACGAATAATCTCGAGCATATGACCGAAACAAAATCCGGCAGGATAATTACGGCAATCGAGCAACGCGTACTTAGAGCAAGTTAATTAAGTCAAAAAAGCAAATAATTTGAAAAAGACACTGTACCTGTACTGAATGTGGAATGTACCAACTTTATTCTGTCAATGTCTCTCTGTCATATGAGTAAAATTCGAATATAACCATAGTAGAGTTCTGTGGCTCCCGCGGGGCATTATTTTGTTCGCGGCCCTGCATGGGCTCTGCCCATGTCAAGGATGGGCCCGCGCAGCTCTCCATTGCATTTTTGGGGGTGTGACCTGCCGGTCACGCCGCACTTCGTCTTCCGGCTTTGAGGTCGAGTGTGTTCTGTCGTTGTCGTTTCTCTGCGGCCGCCTCACGCCCTGGTCGGTTGCTTAACTTTTCGTGTCTCCTCTGTCGTTTGACGCCATACCTTCTCTCTCCGACATGTGACAGACTTTTCTGCGGACCTGCCCTACTCAAGTCCTCCTTAGCACCTCCATCTGTGATATTTCTTATCTTATTTAATTCACCTATAATTAAATACTTGTTGGCCTTGTTGTTTGAACACCGCTTTGTTTTTTGTCATCAGTAGTCTCCTTAGACGAATTGTCCTGTCTGTGGAGCGAGGCCAGATCCTTGCTTTTGCAGTATATTAACCGCCTGTGCTAAATTATCTTTCCCTTACTTTCGGCCTAACGTTAACGTTAAAAGTCCACTTTTTAGGTACTCCACACGAAATCTCGATAACTTAGAGATCACTCAGCCACTTAATATGCCTCATCGGATGGAAACTCGAGCTGCGTGGGAAATAGTTGGGAATTCTGGAGGATTCAGTTTCCGAATTTTTGGAGACTGGCGTCTCCTTGGGGTCCCAACCTCCACATTGAGGTCCAACGGCTTCAAGGTCGAAAGGCTTACCATCGCCGAGCATAATTGCTCGTTCCATTGTCCTGCGAAAAAATCCTTTACTCGCGTTGGAAGCATTTCGTGAGAGGGAGAGTATCGGATAATATCCAATAAATTAGCGTGAAAGAGCTCCAGACTCTTTGGCACCCAGTCAACGCCAAATAAAAAGCCTGAAAGCAGAGTAGAGACCACAGCGTCCAGCAGCAGCAAGCAGAGAACCTGATGGAGCACAACCAAGTGGAGGACAGCCAGATGCGCAGAGCCGCATCTGATTGGAGGGGGGAAAAAGATGTGGTGGGGGGGGGGGGGGGGGTTAAGCTCCTGGATGGCTATTCTACCCGCCACTCCCGGGGACAATCCCATCTGCCCGCATCACAGGCTGTGCATTTTCCTGAATAAATGTTTTCCTTTGATATGATACAATCATTAATGACGGTCGATAAGCTAACTCGCCATACTAACTGGTTGTATTTTTTGCAAGATGGACGGAGGAAATTAAGAGATGACGAGAGTCGAATGATAAATTGATCAATTATGGTTAAGTTCCATGCACCTAGGTTGTCGGAATAAAATGCTAATTAATTGCAGCATGGGTGAAGATTACTTTCTGAGAATGCGCAAATCAACAACTCCTCCATGGCTGAGCAGGGTAGTCAATGAGACACGTGTGTTACGTTGATGGATCCCTTTGGTTCGAATCCCCGAATGCGCGATCAGATGGAATATGAAGTGGACGAAGAGTAACACCAAACCAAGGAAGGTTTCGTACAGCTTTAGGAAAGCTAATTTCGAGAGCACGCGAAGCGTTGGCAAGCAGGTTGCTACGATAAACTAGAATTCCCTTTTGGTGTAATGCGGCAGTGTTACTTGCTATAGACAAGGCAAATTGTTCTGGCGAAACGTCAATCACGTTTATCATGATGCAAGTACCTCTTGCGAGATTCGACGGGCCAATTGTGCTTCTGCAACCAATGTTTCCCAGCTTGGCAAGTTGCTGTCCCACTCAATCAGCGTTGGCGTTGCTCCAAAACGTTTTAATGCCAAACGATAGGCTTGCCAAACGGTTTCTGATACATGGTTACTGTGATCATCGATCATGAGCTCGCCGTCGGGCGGTAGTGTGCATCCTGCTAGATGAATCTCACCGACAACTGTTAAAGGTATGGATTCAAGCCACTGCGACACATATTCAATTGGGGTAGTAATTTCATTGTTAGTAGCATTGACCACTAAATTATTTAGATCCAACAATAGGCCACAACCAGTGCGGTGAGTAAGTGAGGTGAGGAAGTCTGTTTCAGACATGGTGTTGTTGCTAAACGCCACATAGGCAGAAATGTTTTCAACTAAAATGGGGCTCTTTAAATGGTGCTGAAGTTTTTCTACGTTTTCGCACAAAGAATCCAAACTGTCCTCGTTAAATGCCAAAGGTAATAAATCCCCAGCATGCTGTAATACGTCATTGTGCTTAGACCAAGCATGGGCAGCGTGGTCAGACACCAAAAATGGGTTTATTCGTTCAACTAATCGATTTAGCTTTTGCACATACTGTGGGACTACCCCAGATTTTGAGCCAAGACCTAATGCCGTGGCGTGCAGACTGATGGGGAAACGTGCGGCAGCTTGATCAAGCACCGCTAAGCTCGCTCCCCCGTCTGCAAAAAAGTTTTCGGCATGTACTTCCACAAAATCCACCAAAACATCTGAACTGAGCGCAGCTTCGTAATGTGGGCTTCTTAGTCCAACGCCTATCATTTGCTGTGTAGAGTTTTTCATGGGTTCATACCTGCTTAGTCAACTTTTAAGATTTTGTAGATTTGAACTTGGCTTTTGCTTCAGCATCAGAAAGACCATTGAGTGATTTGCAAGTCCCTTTTGCCACAAGCTTCCATTCGCCAACATCATTACTTGTTTTTGATTGACCTGCACAAGAATGTGTACCTGCTAAATTGGCACAGTCATTTTGTCCAGCCTTGGCGATGCCGTAGCATTTTTCTTTGCTTGGGTCAGCCGCAAAACTGGTTGAAGAAACTCCACTAGCAACTAAGCCAGCTAATGCTGTTGCAAGTAATAATTTATGATTCATGATATTTCCTTTCATTGAATAGAATTTAATTTAAATGCCAAAGCCTTCATGAGTATTGAGCCATCGATTAATATCTGACTCAGCATGATGACCAACCATTTTGTCTACAATCTCTCCGTCACGCAGTAGTATCAATGTAGGCACAGTGCGTACATTAAAAAACTTGGCGATTTCTTCTTGTTGATCAATATTGTTTCTGGTAGCAAGTAAACTTGATTTATAGCGAGACGCAACGCGCTCAAATACGATGCCTAAACGTTGGCAAGAGGCGCAACAAGATGACCAAAAATCAATTAAGACCCAGCGATTTTGCGTAGCAAGTTCTGCCAAGTGTTCAGTTTTATTAATATGAATAATGCTCATTACA